CCCGAATCTCTTTTTTTTTTTTTGTCTATCCCATAAAAGATGAATTTTTTTTTTGGTAAATTTATTCATCTTAAACATATATAACAAATATAAATCAATTCAATTAAATTTCTAATCTCTTATACACGTGAGATTCACTCAAAATTTATTTATTTATATCACACTTTAATTAAAAAAAATATTTTTATCTATATTTGAAACTCTTTATTTTTTATAAAATTAGTTTTAATTTTTTTTTTGAAAATTAATATACAAAACTAGGAATGACAATGGATCTGAGTAGAATAGAGACCCAATCCGGACCCGACCCATTTATTTGAGATCAAGTCCATTTATTTGGGTGTCGGATCTGGGTCCGGATCGTGTATTGTATATCTTATCGTGTCCGGATCGGGTCTCGGGTCCAAGGGTGGACCCTATCCAAATATGGACCCGATTAATATATTACTAATATATTCATTATATATTAGAAAAGATTAATTTTTAATAATATAAATTATATTAAAAATATGTTTTTATTTTAATTAATTTATTTTTTATTATCCTATTATAATATTTTTGAATAAAATACAAAAATTTTAATATACATCGGGTCCGGGTTCGAATTCGGATCCAATTTTAAGTTAAATTTTAAAAATTATAAAAAAAAGTTTTGAGTCCATCGGGTATTGGTTGGATCGGATCCGAGTATGGTCAAATTCCGATATAATTGGATCCAATTTGAGTCTTGGATTCAACAATATGCATTCAAATCGGGTTTTGGATCCGGGTGGACCCGACCCATACCCGACGCATTGCCATCCCTATACAAAACCACTAAGCAAGAGCCTAAGGCTCAACCTTCACAAAACTTTCAATATCCATCCGCCAACTAAGATTATTCAAATCGGTGGGTTTCTGTCACCGATGTTAGATTAAAAAATAAAAAAATAATAAAAAATCAAACTTTTTCACAGCTAGAGTGGAGCGCGGGCTTCCTCTATGGCACTTGTGTAAAACCGTAACATTGGTATTATTTTTGCAATAGGTTCTAATTGGCAAAAAAAAAAAATATTTCTTTTTAATTATCTTTTATACACTTTATTTTTATTATATATATTTATTAATAATTTTTTAAATTTTTATATTTGATAAAATTTTATTATTTACAAAATGATACCAATATTGATATATTTTTGTTTAATAAAATTTTAATTAAATATAATCAATTAATAATAATAACAATTTAATTTTGTAATTATCTTATAAATTATTCATTAAATTGCACAAATAATTAAAATATATATAATTACTAATATGTAATTGAAATTTAGAAAAAAAATAGAAAATAATATAAATTACAACATCGGATGTAAAATACATCATAATAATATTAAAATCGACAAATATAACAATATACATAATGACCTAGAAAATAAAATACTAAAATCAATAAACATAACAACATACATAATAACCTAGATAATAGAATATTAAAAGCAATAAATATAACAATATAGATAATGAAATAGTTAATTAAACAATTCGTTGAATAATTTGGTCTTCAACCTTTCTCGTCCGCATCCAAATTTTCACTTCTTGCCAACAATATATTAAATGTTTCAAACTTTTTTGCTTGGATAAGACCAATCATCTTCTTCTTTTTTTCTTCTCTCGTATAAGCAATACGACTCAAATGTTACTTTTGCATTTTGATCTTTCATCTCTTAAAAATCCTCATAAAAACATATTTTGAATCTTGCTTTTGTACCCATTTTTCCTTATTTTTGCAAAGCTTTGACACGAGGGGACAAATAAGATGTGATTCATCAAAAGTGTCGTATTGGAGGATTTGAACCTAATGAATATCCACCAGCTTCTTTGATTTTGGTTCTCTTCGAACTACCACTACTATCATGAGACGCTCTACCAACAATATTAGTGGCACAACAATTTGTATATCATTTTAGTTCATGCTACAACACACGCCATGCATGCTCATATATGAAAGACTTACCACAATCGACACAATATATTTCGTATGTCTTGTTTAAGACATTATAATTAGATTGCCCAGTCTTTTTTCTTTGGTCAGTTTGCTCATAACAACCAACAAATTTTGAAACAGTTCTACTATTTTTTTGCCAACGATTTTTACACTGATTCGCGTACCTGTATCAAACTTGTTTTCCATATAGTATTCAAATATCTTTTTTTTTTTTTATCAATGTTTGTAATGACATTCTTGCTTGTGTTAAGCCGAGAAGAAGTAAATCTTCTTCATGACTCCATTTTTTTTTTCATCTCTCTAGTTAGAGTACGATTTGCACATCGTAAGCTTGTGTGCAATTTTTAAGAATGCTTTCTGGATGTGCATTTCGCATTAAACCAGGTGGTGGAGGATACGGTGAAACTCCAAATGCTTTAAATTTTGGCGGATAGAAATTTGGTGGAAATAAAGAGTAGGGTGAACTATAGAAATTTGGAAGTGTTTGATAATTGAAAGTGAGACTTTGATTTGACGAGTTTTGTGAAGATTCTTGATTTCCAAACATATTCATAAAACTCGAAAACATAAAAGGATGTTAAGGATTTGAGGAGTTTTGAGAATTTTGATTCATGATTGAAAGCAAGGTATGAAAAAATAAAAAAGTTAGAGTTGATATGTTACCATAAGAATAGAACACTCATATTTATAATACAAATAATTATACCATCAATTGAATTTTCACATCACACCAACTTTTATCATTGAAATTTCACATCACATTAATTTTATTGTACTAGTTTATTACACAATTCTTATATTTATCACTGTGGTATCAAATCAATAATATTTAATTTTTTAATTTAAAGACACATAAATACAAAAAATTGTACCATAAATTGAATTTTCACATTACATTAATTTCATTGAATTGATTATTGTATTAGTTTCTTACACAATTCTTATATTTATTATTGTATTATCAAATTAATAATATTTAATTTTTTTTATTTAAAGACACATAAATACAAAAAATTGTACCATAAAATTGAATTTTTACATGACATTAATTTTATTGAATTAATTATTGTACCAGTTTCTTACACCATTCTTATATTTATCATTGTAATATCAAATCAATAATATTTAATTTTTTTTATTTAAAGACACGTAAATAAAAAAAATTGTACCATAAAATTGAATTTTCACATCACATTTATTTATTTTTAATGGATGATTGTACTAATTTCTTACAAAATTCTTATTTTTATCATTATAGTATCAAATCAATAATATTTAATTTTTTATTTAAAGACACATAAATACAAAAAAATTTACCATAAAATTGAATTTTCACATCACATTAATTTTATTGAATTTATTATTGTACTAGTTTCTTACATATTTTGGACTCTTTTTATTTGTAACATCAAATCACACTTATTACTATAACATGTACTACATTGTTGGAAATTAACTATAAATAATCTATCTTCTATTATTTTTACAATATCCTTTGTTCTAAAAATCACTTCTAAAAATGTATATTCCATCTCTTTCAAAGAATAATCATTGCTAGAAAAATGTTTAATTATCTCAATCAAATACTAGTATTGATTCGGACGATGATGTCGAAGCTACTTCTCATTGGTGGACAATACACCAAATTTTCAAACAGTTGTGGGAAGATTTTTCAACAATGAGGCAGGATTCACAATCAGAGAAGAATTTACATTGAGAGAAATCGCGAAGAGTTATTTCATTGTTTGGTGAATAATATTTAAGAAAACCAAACACTACCGATCTACAACGACTTCTCTTTGTTGCAAAAGAACGTGATTTCCCATGGATGATCGAAAGTATTGATTGCATGCATTGGGAATATAAAAATTGTTCGGCTGCTTAGAAATGTCAGTTTTCACGTGGAGATCATGGAAAACCAACAATCGTGTTAGAGACGGTGGCATCCTATAATCTCTGGATTTAACATTAATTTTTTGGTACACCAGGTACATGCAATTATATTAATGTGCTTATCGATCTCCAGTATTTAACGATGTTCTGAAGGGCAGAGCTCTGGAAATAAATTTTGTTGTCAATGGTCACCAACGTAATATGGGACACTATCTTACGGATGATATTTATCCTGCATGGGCAATTTTTATCCAATTAATTATGGTGTGCAAATTTTTTGCTAAAGAAATACTATCTTCTCGAAGGGTCTCATTTACTTTTTCGTGTTGATATTTGAATATTAATTATTATATGAAAATGTAGTACAAATTAAGAGAAAATGACAAAAATACTTCTATTAGTGTCTTATAATACTATTATAATGACATTTGTAAAAAATTATACAAATATAAACATATTTTTAATGTCAAGTAAAGTGAAAAAAAAAAAAAAAAAGAAAGTAAATAAGATAATCAGACGGGGAACTAGTACTATTTTGTAATAAAAATTTGAAATCTCCAAATAGTTGTAATAAGAAGGCGATTCGTGCAACTAAATAAAATGATGCAAATTTCAAAATCTAATTTTCAATTACAAATGGCTATTTAAAAAATATGTTATATGTAAAATTCAATTTCAATAATTGTTGTAAGAGTGAGATAAGAATGTAATTAATATTTATTTCTTAATAAGTTTACAGATGGGATTAGCGATTGATGGCATCCAATATAATGCCAGCCACGCAAGACCTGCAGGCATTTATTGAAATTAAATTAATATTTTATCCCAAGTCATGCAATTATTTAAAATCGATTTTGTTTAGTAAGTGATAAATTTGAAATTGAAAAATTAAATTGGGGTGATAATGTTACAATTATTATATTATTTAAGAATGGATACTGCAGTAATCACCTTGCCATAATCCAGACAGAGGGAAAAGTGTTCTATAAATATTATCGACTGAAATTCCGAAAAAGCCCCTGCCGATTACCGGATTTCCCATGCACTCCGAGGGTTGAAATTGTCATTTAACGTAAAACGACGTCGCGTTCTCCTCCCTCGCCCCCTGAAAAATTTTCCGTTATTAGTTTCTTACTTGTAAAAACCCTACAGAGATGAATGGGGTTTGGTGTGGTGTGGATGCACATTGGCTGATGTGTTTCTTTGATTTGTGCAATTAATGATACTTGTGTAGAAGAGGGGAATTCAAATCCTGCATCCCGACCCCCAATTCTTCTATTAAAGCCTGAATTCGGGCGCTTTGTCGTCGAATTGAAGCTGCAATTTGAAGATTGGAGATTGAATATAAATTGTGGTGATCCATGTCCATGGCGGATCAAGAAGATGGGGATTTGAAGATGGAATCAAGGCAGAGCATGCAGCAGCATGAATCGCCGGAGCCCAAGAGGAGCAAGCCTAGGGAGAATTCAGGTACCGTAAGGGAGGGGGAATCTCCGGAGGCTAGGAATCGGCGCTTACAGCGTGAATTAATGGCTGCTGCTGCGGAGAAGCGGATGGAGGCGGCCAAAGTTTCTGCTGCCGCGGCGGTGAAGAGTGTGGAGATTGGAAAAGATGTTAAAATGGCGGAGGTGGAGACTAAAAGTGAGCCCACAGTTACAGGGAAGAATGTGGAAAGTTTTTCGGAGGTAAAGATATGGACTTCAGAAAGCAGTCATGGAGGCAAGGTTGAGGATAGAACTGACATGTCTGAAACGTCCTTATCGATCTCGGAGGGTGATGAGCTCTTCTTACTAATTTTTGGGAACACAGTTAGTAAAGAAGTACTCGCCCAGTGGTGCAATCAGGGTATAAGGTATATCGTTTATGAGGTTTAACAATTTCTTTTTGATCGGAATTTATGAGGTTTACAGTGCGATGCTATGTACAAGGGGAAGATTATATATATATATATAAACTAGGAATTAAAACAAATAGAATTGATTGGTTTGCTAGTATCCATGGCTATAGTTTTGAACATGGCCATGGGAGCATGAGTTAGTCTTGAAACATCCAGGAGGTTTGGTCTCAATGTTATTGCAGTTCTGTCCGGTGTCTATTGTGCTGATTATTGTTTGATTTACTTGAAGTGTTATCATTGTGTCTTCTTGATGTAGCTGAAGCCTTTTTAAAGTTCCTATCGAGTATAGTAATTTAAAGTGATGTTGTAGTAGTCTTTATCTGATCGCTGTATAATCATGATCATTTCCTCGGTAGGCCTGACTTACTTGGCACATCTTTCTTTCTTAATTTGATGTGTATTATTAAGATTGTGGCACATTCAGGGAGTCAGTGACAGGTTCTTGGAGAACTTGGTCAACTCATTTATTACTAGCTGGTTACGAACTTGGTCAACTCATTTATTGTTAGCTGGTTACGAAAGTAATTTGCTGCAAACATGACCCATCTTTCTAAAATCGCATTCATGAGATTGCTATTATTGTTTGTTTATGCTTATCTATTGAAATAATTCATTTTGCATTGCCAATATGTATTTGCTTATATAACCTCTAAAGCACACCTGATCGTTATGCTTATCAATTGCTCGTAATGCAAGCAAGGGTGCAGTCATTATTATGGTATTTTTAATGGTTCTTGATTCTCTGTAGAATCAAATAATGTAAGTCATGTTTGTCCTGTCACACATAATGAGCTTGCATTTTATGCTCTTTAAACTCAATCTTCCTTATAGGTTTAGCACCGATCCAGAGACATCAATGGGGCTAGTGCAGCATGAGGGTGGGCCATGTGGCGTGTTAGCTGCTATACAGGTATTGGTTTATGTCTAATTTATCTCCAAAGAAACAAATGTCAGTTAGACGAATGGATAGTTCTAGTTACTAGGCGTGTGTTCACTTGGGTTTCGGTGTTTCAGATTTAGAAAATTTTGAGGTAAAAATAGTTGTTGGGTGTAATTTTTTGAATGGAAAATGGGTTCTAGGTGTGATGTTTTTGAAGGGATAATATTGGATTGAATAATGTGAAAATGAGAATGAAGACACAAGGATACGCGACCTAATGCCAAATAATATAAAAATACTATACTATCCTAGCCATCTAAACTTTCAATCACCTAACGACAAGCTTCCGGAAGGGAGTACCGAAGAAGATGGACCATAACAAGTGAGCGGTAAATGGTCAAATCCCATTTTCATAAATTTATAAAAAAGCATTTCACGTGTGCGGTTTTTAGAAAGAATGCCCAATTGCAAACATGGAAATGTTTAGAATAATTAAATAGAAAGTATCTATTATAAAAATGGTTCATTTGTGTTGCATAACTTACTTAAAAATGTACCCAATCAGCATTGCCTTGTGTGAGCACCATTTTGGCTTGCTGTTGGTTAAGCACTTTAAGTGCCTTTTTGGTTTCAGTTGTTGTAATTACACCAGCTCTAGTCATGTATGTTTAATTTCCCTCATTTAATTGCATACTCGTAATTTTGTTACCGTATGAGTTTTTCTTTAAACACCTTCCCTTATCAGGATTCATAAAAATTCCATAGAGTGGAGAGAGTATGCATATAGCTAAATAAATATGAATTATAAAAATGCTTATGAAATTACTTAGAATCATATACAAAAGGAATACACTTTACTTTATATCCGTATACTCGTTTATGGTTCATACTTGTGATGTGTGTTGGTGCTTGCCTAGAACCATGAAGTGTTTGTCTGGTGTGTCATTCTTATATGTTGGTGTTTGGGCTTCACTAAAGTACGTGTTGGTGCATGCCTTGCGTGGAATGTACCTTCTTTGTATAAATATACAAGTAATAGTGCTCTTTGCATGTGTTACTTATTCTATAAAACTGGGTTGTTTTCTTTTTGTAGAAGTTTCCTGTATGGCTATGATCATATAAACCTTCATCCCACATGGAGTGTGGACTACATTCCTATTCTGTCTTGTCAATATCGTAAAGAGTGAGAACTTTACATTGTTTGTCGACTTAGTGCAAACCGTTTTCCTTTATCTGGAGGACCGGTAAACCATCTCTTTCAATGAAAAGAGTCTGACTTTAGAAGTTCATAATATGAGAAGCTTTTTTAGATGAAAGATTTCTCTACCTAAATACAAAGGCGAGGATTGGAAGGGCATGCATATTCTGGCAAGGACAGTCAGAGCTGTAACTTCAGCGGCAATATGACTACGTTAGTTCAAAGTTCTATTGCAAAATTGTTTATTGCCTATCACATGTCATGATTCAGAAGTGACAATCTTTCTTTATGTGTTTTGAGCCATAGTTGTAAATAGTGCACAACGTGTTCTACAAGTCTTAATATTAATGCGCGCGCACACACACACACACACATATATATATATATATATATGCAATCAATATAACACACTTGCAACAAAAAGAAAATAATCACTCAAGTATTTTAATGTTAAAAAGTTGGCACCCTAGTTCCAATATTTGAAGAAAGAAAGCACTTCCAAAGCCGTAGATGAGATTTATGAGGATTAGAGCACCGAGCAACAAATAGGGAAAGAAGGAAACACCGTGAATGCCTATCGATCCGGTTATGTACATATATATAGAGAGAGAGGAGAGACCTTCCTAAAACCATCCTTTAGATTGACTCTATTAAAGCTCTCGGTTAGATTATGGACACAATACCCTCATAAAAGCTCAACTTTAAGCGAAAATAATCTTAGATTTCCTTGCCAAGCATAGAGCTTTTTATTGGATGGATCTTATTACTTGGCTCTAAATTTCACTACCTTTGACCTAGCATATGTTCTCTTTTTTTGGTTGGTTTGAAGTGTTTCACCTCTACCTAGTATCGCTGTTTCTATTGTATCCCTTAGGGACTTTTAATATATAAATCTTTTGGTTGTATTTGGTTGGTGATTTTCTCAAAGATTTTTACTATTTACCAAATTTTCTCTTTAACAACATTAAATCAAATTCCTATTTTTTATTTTTTTACATTATAATAAAATTTATTTTTACATTCAATAGATCACATCAATACATATTTATATTTATATTACATTAGACAACTATTCAAATTCAAAAATTTTACTATACAAAACTCAAATCTAAAATGCAAACTCTTAACCAAACACACCCTTGATTTCCAAAAAAAAAAAGTTTATCCTTGTCATTGCTATCTTCACTAAGCTCTTCAACCTTAATGTTTTCCTCATCCACGTCTTTATCAACTAATTCATATTCTCTTATGCCTTGCCTGGCAATTGACCGATGGCAACAAATGGCACAGTGGGAGGCTAAAGAGACAAGAGGACGTTTTCATAGGCAAGAAGAGGCAAAAGATATGAACAAGAGTGTGCCTTTTTCCATGGCGAAGCGCTTTAGGCGAACCTTGTGATAGCGAATGTTGAGCCATTTATAAACACATATGGGAAGGGCAAACATAGTATGTGTATAACATGATTATAGTAGATAATCCTTTAAAGTTGACTACACCTATTGTTTCTCAAGGTCATGGGTTTTCAAGGTCCCAAGTAGGCATGCAACTCAGGATAGTCGTAAACTTTGCTCTCTCACTCCATTACTGGGCCCCTCAAAGGTATCATCAAAATTGATGCCCATCATATACTAAACTTTAGATTTACGTGAGTTTAGTACAGGTTGGATTTTTGGTTTTTGTCTATATATATTGTATAGCTAGTTTCTTAGGTTACAGGTTTTCTAATAGTTTAGAGTCTTTTTCACCATCGGAGCAACAATTCTATGTTGGTCTTTTTGTACATGATGTTTTGAGTTTTTGCATGATATATACAGGTTGGAGGTTCCGTTCCAACCCCCTTGCGACCGGTGAGATTCATTATTAAAATAAAAAGGTCCCAAGCAAATGACCCTAATGGAGTTATAAAACATTTTTTTAGAATAAAATACATTTATTGATAAGAAAGCACACAAATAATACAAGAGGATTTGAAAGAAAGGAAGTTGCGAAAGCCAAATAGATTGTTAAAAAACGATCTGGGTTTCCAACCTAAAATCAATTGGTATTAAGTGACCTTCACCCTTATAAAGTAGAAGAGCCCCAACATCATATTCAATGTAGGACAATATTCAACCCTCTCCTCTCGAGACGATAATCTCGAAAATCCATACAGGATCAATACTCAATATGGATACCATGTTAAGAAGGGATCCGAATTTTCAACCTAAAACTAATTGGTGATTGGTGGAGTGGCCTTCACCCTTTAAAGTAGGAGAGCCCCAACATCATGTCCAATGTGGGACAATATTCGACATAGATAAATCAGCATTTCCTCTAGCACCACACTAGCAAAGTGGCTTTCCACTGCATTTGCACTTCTAAGAAAAAATAATGAGGGTATCTTTCAAGAAAGCGCTGCAACTTGTTGAACTCAAAATCTAATTTATAAGGTGGGGTATAGCTGTGGATTTATGCAAGAGCATTTTTTGGGGAGAAGTCCTAGTTGGTGTTTTAGAATAGCTTCAAGAGTGTAAATAATCGCCAAAAATTTTCCACGTTTGAATCCTTAATGCCAATGAACTCGTAAATGATGAAGAGGAAGTGGTTTTTATGGTCTCTAATAACTGCTCCAAGATTACCAAATGCTGAGCCATAAGCCATTAGTATTGATTCTCCACGAAGAATGTTCCAATAACTCCATTTGGCAACTTGCTTGGGACCTGGTGATTTTGTATGGGCATGAGAGATGTCTTCAAGGTTTGTCAGTAAGGAAATTAAGGAAGATTCCTGCTAGGGAAATGAGCTTGGTACCATTCATCAACTGTCTAGCAGGCTTGAAGAATGACCTATTCAGCAGAAAATCTTTATTGTTTGAAATAATACCATTTCGGGCCTTCCAAATCTCCTAAAGAATGGCTTTGCACAATCTCCCAAATCTGGATATTTGTATGGAGTGAGCGAGGGAAGACCATTGGAAAATGAGATCATGAACGAATGGAGGAAATATGGAATACTATGGGGTAAAGGAGGAAAAGATGGTAGACCAAATCGCAATGAAGGTGGCAAAGAAGGCAAGCTACTTCTGGAATCCAACAGCCTCTATGTACAAGAATATCTCTAATTGAGAGGTGGCCTGAAAGAATCTTCCAAACAAAGGTATTATCTTCGAGAGATGCATTAGGGGACCTATACAAAACCTACAAATAGAAACATATATTTTATTTACCATATTATTTTGCTTTGATGGTGCATCCAAGTACCATTGGCATCTATTAGTAGTACAAAAACTTTAGCGCGAGATTTAGAGATAATTATTGAGATTTTCAATTTACTTCGATATTAAGAGTACTAGGTACAATCCTAGTTGTTAGCAGAACAAAGGCTCTTTGAGGTCACGATTCATGGTGCATGGCGTGGCTATTGCCATAAATAATTACAACGCAGTCATTTTTAATATAGAACTATATATGAGTCCTTGAGCTATTAATCTAAAAATTATATTCCTTCCGCTCGTGAAAATTATGTAAGTTTGTTTGGACACGAAAACTAATAAATAATAATATATTAATGTTAAAGTAGGGTAACTAAAAAATAAAGTAGGGGCTATTATGGGAAATTTATTAAAAATTGATAAAAATATGATGAGGTAAGTAGAAAAGTAGCGTCAAATTGGTTATATTTGTTAAAATAGAGGTAATTAAATTTTAGATGGATAAAGTTTTTTAACTATAAATGAATTAGGCATAAGTTTAAGTTTAGCGGATGGCCCAAAAAGGAATAGTGAGATAAGTTTAGTAGGGGACGGAGGGAACATATACTCAAGATGTTAATATAGCTACAAATAAATCTACTTATAAGAATAATATTTAATAAGTCTCAAAGCATTAATCATCAAAATAAATTTTAACATTTATATGTTTGGGGTATTAGGCATACAGTTTCCAATTATGTGTATATAATTATATATTAAAAACGTGTGTGAAAAAAAAAAAAAAAAAAAAGTGCAAGTGTGCACCACATAATGCTGAACAGCACCTAGGATGCACTTAAAACCATGAATTTCTACATTTATTGCTACTAATATTTGCACTGATTAAATATAAAATGAAAATGGTATGCTATTTGAAAGTTTGTCTCATATGTATGACACTATATTTAAATGTTAAAATTTGTAAGAAATAAAAATAAAAATAAAAAGTTGTTTTCATTATAAAATAGGTGGAAATAGTGGTTGTGTTCTCTTGTGTTCCCATTTTCAATTTTTGTTTTCATTCTCCTATTTTTTCTTGAAAAACATCATATTCAACAACCATTTTTCATACAACACATCTCATCAAGCCACTATTCACCTAAAAATTTTTGAAAACAAACACATACAACGAAAATTCAAAAGAACACAATTAGAGTTTGGAAGAACTTTCTAGAAAAACTAATACTTAAAAATGAATAGAAATAAAATCATTTATGCTAAAAAAAAAAAAATAGGAACAATATATGGTGTTCCTTGCACTTTCGTAAAAAGTGCCCAACAAATGTCATCTGGAAGTTCCAGTGAAGTTGAGCATTCTTATAGTAGAATGGCACATAGGATCACTAATCCGGGTATCATTTTGGTTTTTCAATTTTTGCATTAGAAGGCCTGTTGGAAGTTAGGGTACTCTTGTGCATATTTGTGTGTGAGTGTTCCGATGTGACATCGAAATTTAATCTGTTTTTAGTTTTAATATTTCTATATGGGGCCATGTTTGCATGAGAGCTTGGAAAAAGTTTCTTATTTTCATTCTTCTGATCTAGTTAATATCTTGTGTTTTATTCTCGCTAATCTCATCATATATTGACTTTGCGTGCAGGCTTTTGTGCTTAAGTATCTTCTATTCTTTCCAGAAGAGTCTGATATAGCTGCACTGAACATGTCATCAAGTGTGTCTGTCAGAAGGGTGCCCAAGAGTGAACCTGTTGCTGCTGACATTTTCTCCTCTCTTTCAGAAGAAAAAAGATCAAGGTTTTTAAATTTTTTTATCCTTTCTCATTATTGGTAGGTTTTTTCTTTTTTTCCTTTTTTTTTTTTTTTTTTTTTTTTTTAGATTGACACCTTAAACATGAAATGAAAGAGAAATTATAGGTGTGTTACTGGTGATTTTTTTTTATAGGTTTTGATTTTGGTTTTTGGTTTAAATGGTGAGTTGGATGTGATTTATTGTGATTTGTGAGAGAAGATATTTTTATATGAAATTGTGAGTATTGCATAAAAAATAAACTGTAAAAAAAGAAAAAGGAAATTCCCAAAGTAAATAGAGCCTATATGTATCCCTAGGTTCTTGGATTAAGAATTCCACTAGCTCTGATGACTATTGTACTCACACTTATTTCACTAACTGAATTCCTTTAGAAGTTCGGTTTTGAGGTTATTGTGATCATATGAATAAATCTGGACTATACGGGAATCAATAGGTATATTAAGTAATAGAGAATTTTTGTTTTTGTGTTTCTAGATGAAGATTTTAGCTCCATAACTATTGTCTTTTTGGTTTATTTATTGTAAAAATCATATTTGAGAACCCTATCTACATATTGACCGTATATGCAATTTGTGGGCCCATGTTTATTCTAAATATGTCGTGAAATTACTTGCACAGAATTTTAACCATTTGTTACTCTAGGTCCAAAACAGTTTATGATATTCTGATTGTTTCTTATTCTTCTCACTAGAATAGGGGCAAGAGGGTGAATCTTCACTTAATTTAAAGAAGAATCAGAAGACGAGAAATTTTTTGTTCAACATGGTTCAGACTGGTCTTTTTGGCTTTTGGTTAATTTTAACGGCGATATGTTTCAAGCTGTCATTAATCTTTGCATTCAGTGTTCACTGTTGGTTCTACAATTTTCGTTCTTTAAAAATATTTCCTCTAGAAGTATTCTATAGTTTCAAATTCAATATTCCCTCTTGTTGGAATTATTATTAAAATGGATAGTCTAGGCATCAGCAAAGTTCTATTCTGAACCATTTCGAGTAATTCCTGCAAACTTCAATCTCTTTAAATATGATTTTTAAGTATGTTTATTTTTTATTTATAATTTTAATAGTTTTATCTTGTCGTAAGCTGGATTATCATGCTCGTTGTACCAATTTACACTGATAAGCTGAAGGATTGTCTAGATTCCATGAGAACTTGTTATTGGGAATGATATTTTTGTTGCCTCCAAACTAAGAAAATTGTTTGTGGATGTTTACTTCTATTCAGTGTTTGGTGAAGTCTTTCATGCATTGTTCGAATGGATTAAATCGATGAATTACGAAGTGGTTATTCTATTTTCATTTACACAAATTTGCTGCTTTTCGAACAGGGCCTTGGTAAGGAGCATGAGTGAGATACTCTTTACGTGCGGACATGACGAAAAAGCACGGATAGTATCTCTGAATATAATTGATGATAGTCTTATCAAGTCCATCAACAGATCAGAGGATGAGGTGAATTTCACTGTTTTGCCAAACTTCTACAACTTTTACTACATTATTCATGTAGAGATTTTGGTGTTATTCTTGTGCTAAAATTGTTGTCTACTTGCACACAATAAGAAGGTAAAAATATTTTTTTAATTGTGAGATATGGGCTTTGTTTGGTTTTGCTTTTGGTTTGAAAGCAAAATCATCATTATTCAACCTGCACAATTTTTAACAGAGATATATTATTTTTTTTTACAAAATATCATATTAAAATACTATTTAAACTAAAACTCAAATAAAAAATTACAAACCAAAATCAAACAAACCCATGGAGTTGGACACATTTGTGAGCACAACCTTTACCTCTTACTTATCACTTCATGCAGGTCATTGCTAGTGTGCTCGGGGGAGTGTCTATTGAGTCAGGATCCGACTTGCAGAAGTTTCTGAGAGTTGATACCTACACTTCTTGGACAACCGCATTTCGGAAGCTTGAAGCTATGCTTCCTATTTTCAGAAGTCGCTTGGGAGCACTGATCTTTTTAATATCTGCCTTGCTCTCTCGAGGAGTGGTATGTTTTTTTTTTTTTTTCAGTTTTATTGAATCTTATTTGATGTATACATTTTTACATATATGACTTGATTCTATGTATTAATTGAATTTTTAGCTTAAAGGAAGAAAATTTCCAAAACTTTATATCTCATTTATGTGTAGTCTATGTGCAAAATCTTTTGGGTATCTTGCACTTTAAACCAGAAAACCATTGTTCAATATCGGTATTATTCACTATTAGATATTATAATTCCGCATTATACATGAATAATATAAAGACATGGAATTTTAATTGCTCATAAATATGTTTGCCAGAGAGAGAGAAATAAGAGATTATAAATGTGCCCTATTTTGAAAATTTTCGAAATTATTTGGGAGCATAGTGCCAACAGACAATCGACACCCTTTATATCTCATTAATGTGCAATCGACGTGCATAATCTTCTGATTATTGGGTACCTTGCATTTAAACCAGAAAACCGTGCTTTAATATCCATATGATTCACTATTAGATATTACAATTACCTTTTTGATTTGTATTTGATTGTCAATTTGTTATTAGGATAATGTTAAAGAGGATAGGGATGATCCGAGCCAGCCATTGGTTACTGCTCCATTTGGGCATGCATCACAGGTATTACCAAATTTGTCTATAATGGTAGACATTTTGTCTTGGTGACTGAGGTTTGCTCATTCTCTAACCTTGGACAGCTTTGATATTTTTTATGCAATAGGAAATTGTAAACCTTTTACTCTCGGGGAGCGCTGTCGCTAATGTGTTCGATGGAAGGATGGACTTGGGAGGGGGCATGTTTGTAAAGGGCATTTCGACAATTGTCGAAGTTGGATTTCTCACTCTTCTGGAGTCCCTAAACTTTTGCAAAGTCGGGCAGTATCTGAAATGTCCAAGGTGGCCGATATGGGTGGTCGGAAGTGAATCTCACTATACAGTTCTGTTTGCCCTCGACATAAAGGTCCAAGAGGAAAATGAACTTGAAAGTCGGGAATCGCAGATCCGGAGAGCATTTGATGCGCAGGATCAAAGTGGAGGTGGTGGCTTCATTAGTGTCGAAGGCTTCCACGAAGTTATCCGGGAAACTGACATTAAAATTCCAGCAGAGAAGGCCGAGCATCTCTGTAGCACCGGCTATATCGTATGGAGTGAATTTTGGCAAGTTATACTCGATTTGGATAAGAGTTTAGGGGGCGTGAAGGATTCGTCTGGAATGATGGGAAAGAAAGTCTTCGATCTTTACCATTTTAATGGGATTGCGAAATCGATCGCCAACGGAAGCTATCATGAGAATCCAATCCAACGGCCAAGACTGACGAAACTAAGAGTCTCGGTGCCCCCAAGATGGACGCCGGAGGAATTCATGATGGACATACCGGTGACCTCTGGGTCAGGCGAGGAAGGGAACTCGAACGGAACGTCGTCTAAGACGCCTCCTGCTACTGCTCCTGCACAGCATGCCCCTTTGGTTGACTGCATCAGAACGCGTTGGCAGCGTGCAGTTTGCAACTGGGACGGGGATGCGCCCAGCATTGTATGATTCGATCGACCGACGATTGACCGACCGACCAATCTAGCGGGATTGGATTGGTATTGAAGAATGAATGATCATCTTCCAAGAGGAACAGAACTGAACAGAACAGATGGTTTTTTGTTGTTGGTATGTGCCTGGCTGCTTGTGTTGTGGTCTACATCTATCTTTTCAATTGTGATGTAGCATATCCATGCATACTCCCAATGTTTGTTGAACTACATCTCTCTCTCTCTCTCTCTCTCTATATATATATATATTGGGACAAAAGTAGTGCATAATAATTTATGTGATCCTTTTGAATTGAATTGCATTGATTATATGTATTTATATTGTTAATTATTTTTTATATTAACTTACTCTTGTTAGCTGATTCAATTGGGACTACATGATTCAAAATAATGATTTAATATTAGTTATTTATACCTAAATTGACCATTTAAACAATTTATATACAATTTTTTTGGGTTCAAAATACCAACCACTAAGAATTACACTTATGCGGATGATATTTGTAATTTAAATTTTCAAATAAATTGAAAAGATTTAGTCGACATCATCTATTTATTTCTATTAATTAATATGTTGTCTTCTGTTGACTACTTGTCCGTAAAGTCCATTTGTCTTCACTCACACGCCGCACAGAGAGTTCTCTTAAATAGATTGTCTCATCTATATTGAATCAATGCACTTTTTCATGCGTTTTATCAAAATAATTGTTATTTTATTTGCATTGTTCTCAATAAATAAATAAATAAATATACAATATTTTCTCTAGAAAAATAAAAAATATTGCTCCCCTATCCACAAAAAGTATGCTCGTATGAATATATTTTTTAATGAATACAATATTAAATTGATTCATTGTAGCATAAAATAAGAATATTCTAGAAAATAACTATATAATGTTTGTGACGTTAGACATGGGTCCAAAAGCACCCAAATATGAAGGAGGCTCGAAGACAAAAGCGGAGCTGGAACTCCCAGGCCACGGAGTTGCGCAATAGCAATGGAACTTCAGGCCGTTGAGCCAAAGACCGCTGTCTCCACATAGCCGAAAACAACCTTCATTGGACTGTGATGTCTCCATAAACCAAAGGATTGCTGCATCCACAGGGCCAAAAACAGCACCGTCCATGGACTCTGAGGCAGCAACCTCCATTAACCTTGGGCAGTAACTCCTTGGACTATGGTGCCTCCATCCCGAAACAATTATTCTATAAAGTCGAACATTGTTGCCTCCACAGAGCTAAAAACAAAAACCTCCATTGGCTTTAGGTTAGCGGCTCCATACCGAAAGTCAATGAAAGATCTACATACTTCCATGTTTTATTCAGAAGACTCCTCGGAGACAGGCCGACATAAGAAAAAACTGAAGACTCCAAACAACTTAAAGCTGTTGGGGATAAAACCCCGTAGACCGGCTAAGATATAATAGAGGCGGTCGGAGTAAGTGGTAGACATGTACAAGTGCAATGGAGGCGGTTCGGAGTAAGCCGTGGACCAGTTCAAGTGCAATGGAGGCGGTTCAGAGTGAGTCCAATGGTTGAGAATTGAGTAGAGGGAGTTGTCATGCGGTTGAAGTGAGTCCAACAGTTGAAAATTAAGTAGAGAAAGTTGTCAGACAGTTAGAAGAAGTTTAAAAGAATAACTGCACCACTCTCCTTAGAATCTAGGGTATGTTAGGATAAATATAGTAAAACACACCAAACACACACAACGACAAGAACACATATCTTATCCTTAATTTCTTTTATCCTTTTATTTTCTAGTTTATCCATAGATTTTAGGAGATTATCCGAATTTCTTGCTAATTCATGTTGTCTTTTGTTAATTTCTTGCTAATTTATGTTTCCAGCATGTTTTTGTCCGCTTTTCAGTAAATTTATCCGAGTTTTAATAGATTTTAGTTAATTCCATCGAAATGGGTCGTTTAGGCTCGAAGCCGTGCAAGCTCCACCGAATGAGCTGCCCTCAATCGATGACGGACATGCTTTTTCAAGTACTTCCGCAACTCATACCGACGGAATTGACGAACGGTCTAACTTCTAAATTTTAAGTTCCAACAATTACATAGTTGTAAATAAATGGAATATCGAATGTTATAAATTAAAGAATATGTAAAAATAATTTTTTGCTATAAATAAAATCTGCATATTTTTGTGAGAAAATAAAATAAACATAAACTTAATTGATAGAGAGAATATACAAAAGAAAAAAAAAAATCTCGATTCAAAACTAAAACCAAACAAAATATAATTTGTTCATTTTTCTCAATTACTTATTATTAAACTATTTTCAAAAAAATATTTTATATGCGAGTATTCTTTTAGTTTTTTTCTCCCAAACATTTTTCCAGAAAAATAAATATATATTGTCCGTACCTCACATAAAAAAGTATCCATTCCAATTAGTTTACAAAACAAACACACCCCAAATTTTTTATACACAATCACATTTCGTAATACTTTGCTATATAAAATAGTAAAAAATACTCCCTCCGTCCCAACTCAAAATACATTTTTTACCATTTTTCGTCCATTCCACTTCAAAGCATCAATTTCATTTTTTAAGTAAAATTAATTTTACACTAATACCAAAATACATTTAACTTTTACCTACATTACAAATATACCATTACACGTACAATTACTTCAAATCAAAAATGTCAGAATCTCTTATACACTTCCACTAACAAATAAAATATTATTATTTTTTAATTTACCGCAAAACTCCAAAAAACCTTTTTGGAGTGGAACGGAAAAAGTATAAACATATAAAATATATATACATGTTGGCACCGCATTTCGATTCTACGAGTTCCCAAGTCCTGAAATATCTTGCACCCTGAAATCAAGCAATACTGTTAAAGTCCCATCAGTACTCCAAATAGTGTGTCTTAAATCAGGCAATATTGTTGGATGACTTTAAATAGTCGGATCTCTGGACGATTTTGAACCTTGACGATTAAATCTAAAGGATTACAAATCGAGTCTATTGGGATTCATGCAATACTGTTAAAAAGTAAAATTAACAAGGCTTGGATAAAGTTCACATAAATTCTAAAAGCACATATAGAAATTGGCTTAATTATAAGTTTAACTATAAAAGGCAAACAAAAAAAAATATACAACCTCCATCCAGCTCTAAGGGTCCAATTTATTTTTTACATGTTGATATTTAAATATTAATTATTATATGTAAACGTAGTAGAAATTAATTGTAACAAAAATACTTCTATTAGTGTCTTATAATACTATTATAATGACATCTGTGCAAAAATTTATACAAATAAGGACTGAAAGTACAACCTTGATAGAGTAAGGATAAAAATATTTTTAATGTAAGTATAATGACGCAAAAGGTAAATGAGACCCTTAGAGCCGTACGAAATAAGTAGATTGAATAAGACTCCGAGAGAAGCTTGGGAATTGCTGAACGGCATGGCTATGAACTCTCAACAATTTGGGTCAAGGGATGTCGTGGAAGTGAAATAAGTTGCCGAGGTAAGTTCTCCTATGCAACAACAATTGAATGAGCTAACTGTTTTTTTGAGAAAACTTGTTGTAAGGAACGCTCAAGTGAAGCCATGTGGGATTTGTGCGAGTGTTGAGCATACATTGACACAAGAGGTGGAAGTGAATGCTGCAGGATTTATGGTTCATATTCAAACACATACAATCCAGGATGGCGAGACCACTCCAATTTTCGATATGGGAATCAAAATCAGCAATTCTTTGGACAACGTCAACCACCGGGTTTTCAACCACATACACATCAGTAGCCACAAAGGACCATGCCTCAAGCTTCGGTTCTTGGTAACTCCTTGCACGATATGGTTAAAACTATTGCCTCTAATGTTTTGCAATTTCAGCAAGAGACAAGGACAAGCATTAAAAACTTGAAAGATCAAATGTCTTAAGTTGTGAAAGAGGTGCGGGATATGAAAGAGAAGGAGAAAGGTAAGCTACCAGCTCAAACCCACATGAACTCGAGCAATGTTACTTGAATGGTCTTGCGAAGTGGTAAGGAGCTAGAAGATCTGAAGGTTATTGCACGAAAAGAGAAAGCTAAAGAGGAGATTGAGCAAGGAGCGAATAAGTCAACTGATCAGGTGAATTCTAAACTTCTTACTCAATCAAATGCTAATGTTGCTCCATTTCCTCACAGGTTAGCGAAACCGACTAATAGCGACAAAGACAAGGAGATCATGAAGATGTTCAAGAAAGTAGAGCTAAATATTCCTTTACTCGATGCAATTAATCAAGTCCCCCGTACGAAATTTCTGAAAGAACCGTGTACCAAAAAACAGAAGTTGAAATGGGACAATTAATACAAAACTCTATACATGTTTCTTATTTATCCTCCAAAAAAATCAGGAGCAACCCCAGATAATAAATCATATCTTCACACACATAATGTATATACATACACATATGGATGTATAATATATACACGTGTTACTATGTGTGTGGGAATAAGAAGGGTTAATGGGATAGTGAATCTAGGAGCAAACCCCCACCTTTTGATTTTTAGAGTAGTTATTCCGACTTATCCCATGTCATCTCTCTTTTTATACAGTCTTTCTTCTTTTGTGTTTGGCCTCTAATCATCCCATTTATATTTTGTGCTCTTTAATCTCTTTTGACTTGGAAAACCTTCCTCTTGAAACCAGACAGACCCTAGTAGCATGAGGTCTGGTTTGTCGGGGGGGTCACTGTGCTTGAAAAGCCCTGATCAGTTAGACTGTCCTCTAATCTTACAGGTCATGAATAAGCACATGGATAAATAATAATAATAATAATAATAATGATACTAATTATAATAATAACAAAAAGACTAGGACAGACAAAAAAACAGTTGTAAGGTCACTTGAGCATTACAAAGCCAATCAATCATCCACATAGGCATAGACTTGTCCTAAACAACCAAACCATATAAGTTTATGTAAAATAGAGATACATCCCCAACATAACAACAAAATGCCAATTAACAATAACAATAATAATAATACTAATAAACACACTAAAATCCCATCCCACTCTCACTCACTCACATTCCAAACCTCAATCCACACAAAATCAAGAAAAACCATAACATCTCCTGCTCATGTCCATGAAAATTGGGGGTTCCAAACCCCGATCATTTCTTCCTTCGCACCCACATTTCTAGAATCCCAATACTCGCATACTAATTCCGGCATTGATATCACCAACCTTCAATCCAAAACAAGAAACATATAAAACGACGGAACCGGAAAGAAACAAGACAGGGAGACCAAACCCAATTTTCATATGCCCAATAAAATTTTTTTCAGATTAGGACAGATATGAGATAATAATAATAATAGGTGCGTTTGTTTGTGGGTTTTAGTTTTTGGGTTTGGATTTTTGAATAGTAAAAAATTGAATTTGAATAGTTGTTTAATGTAATATAAATAGGTATTAATACGATGTTTTGAATATAAAATAAATTTAAAGTATAAAATAAAAAAATTTAAAAAAAAAAATTGTTTGATTTGATATTTTTTGACAAAAAAAAAAAAAAAAGAATCTGAGTAGTAAAAACTTGTCGTACAACCCACAAAAGAACACAACCTTAGCTTTCTGTTACATAATAATTAAAAAGGCAAAAGATTACAGTCACTTACTCACCAAGCTTAGAAGCACTTCCTATGGACAATTGCAGGGCCAGATTCTTCATACTCTCCCTTTGAGATCCACATCTACACAAATAAAGATAAATGGTGTGAGTAATTATATATGTCAATTCTGATCTTACCAAAGGACTATCGAGAATATATTGATGATGTAAGATGTAATGGGGAAGATTGAGTTACTAACCTGCTGGAAAGTACTGAGTGAAGCTAGGATTGATCCTCCAATCCAAACACTATACTTCCTTTCAGGCGGCGCAACAACCTTAATCTTCATGCTGCTTGGAGCGAGGGCAGTTATTTCCTTGCTCATACGATCTGCAATGCCGGGGAACATGGTTGATCCGCCACTGAGCACAATGTTTCCATACAGATCCTTCCTGATATCGACATCACATTTCATAATAGAGTTGTATGTTGTTTCATGAATTCCTGCAGCTTCCATTCCGACCAATGAAGGCTGGAACAAGACTTCTGGACAACGGAATCTCTCGGCACCAATGGTAATAACTTGTCCATCGGGCAACTCATAGCTTTTTTCTATAGAAGAGCTGTTCTTTGCGGTCTCAGTTTCTTGCTCAAAGTCAATAGCAACATATGCAAGCTTCTCCTTCACATCACGAACAATTTCCCGCTCTGCTGATGTGGTAAACATATAACCTCTTTCTGTAAGGATCTTCATGAGATAATCAGTGAGGTCGCGCCCAGCAAGATCCAGCCGCAGAATAGCATGGGGAAGGGCATACCCCTCGTAGATAGGAACAGTGTGGCTCACACCATCACCAGAATCGAGCACAATACCTGTTCGAGAGAAACACAATTAATAATCAAATCAAGATCTTGTGAATATAACAAATAGTTGCATCATTTCACATATCCACAAAATTCATACCAGTTGTTCGCCCACTGGCATACAACGAGAGGACAGCCTGGATGGCAACATACATTGCAGGCACGTTGAAAGTCTCAAACATAATTTGAGTCATTTTCTCTCTATTTGCCTTGGGGTTGAGAGGCGCCTCGGTGAGCAGAACAGGATGCTCTTCAGGAGCAACACGAAGCTCGTTGTAGAATGTGTGATGCCAAATTTTCTCCATGTCGTCCCAGTTGCTGACTATACCATGCTCAATTGGGTACTTCAAGGTGAGGATACCTCTTTTGGATTGAGCTTCATCTCCAACATAAGCATCTTTTTGCCCCATTCCAACCATCACACCTGTATGTCGGGGACGACCCACTATGCTGGGGAACACTGCCCTGGGGGCATCATCACCAGCAAAGCCAGCCTGTAGTCAAAGCACATAAGCAATTAAGCAAAAATAACAACATTGCAATTTCATCATCCATGAAAAAAAAAAAGAGAGGATAACTAGAAAGATAAACAACTCACCTTAACCATTCCAGTACCATTATCAACAACAAGGGGTTGAATATCCTCTCCCTCAGCCATCCTGATTTATGCTCTGTAAATTACAGGCTGTGAACAAAAAGAATAAGCTAAAACACTATAAGAAAGTAAGAAACACATCTCATCTTTCCCTTCAGAATAAAAAAGCATTCAAAAATAAAAATCCATTCAAAATAGCTACTGATTTTCATTTGCAAAATCGGTTATAAAATCTCGATGTTTCCATTTACTAATAATCAATACAACCACGAGCGAGATAATTCTACCGTACTTTAAAAAAAAAATAAAAATTAACAGAGCCACCGAAATCAGATTAATCGAAACTTGACAAAGATCTTGTCGTGTTCTATTAATAAATTTCCTTCTCACGTACAAAATAAGAAACTCCAGTTCAGTCAACATACATGACTTTTATTACAAATTACACAGAACGACTTGGCTGATTTGCTCTACACCGCATACAGATCGATGACTTCCGGATCCTTAACAAGGTTTGATCAAATCAATTCAACACAGATCACAACACGAAAAAACTTCAATTAATACCCACAAAAAAAGACGGGTACTGGCACACAACACATCAGACAAATCCAACACAAACCTCAATCAGAGACGATAAACTCAAGTAAACAGAGATTTGAAATTGAAGCTCACCTTCGATCTGCTTTTGCTTTCTGGCGAGTCCCAAAAATGCACTCTTTAACAGTAAAAAGAACTCACTAGAAACCGATAGTTGGAATATTTGTAAGAGAGAGAAAGAGAGAGAGAATGTTGGGAACGAGAATCTTGCTTATATACTCTGTTTCGAAAGGAAGTGCGGACAAAGTGAAATTGAAATTAACATGAAATGCAAATGCAAATGCAAATGCACATGCAAATGCAAACGAACAATGAGCATTTTCGAGGCGTGTGGAATGAACCAAAACTTGTATTATAAATTTAATCTATCATTAATAATATAATAATACGCATTAATTAAAAAAAATTAATTGTCAATTCTGAAAGCATTCGATGACTCAGAAACCACATATTAAAAATTTAAATAAATTCGGAAAATATTAGAATGTTGATTATATGTTTTCAAGTCAATAATTTGGTGCTACTTGGTTGAATATTCCTCAATTTCTCAGTTTGTGTGTGACACTAATCCACTATCGTTTCCACGATATGAATTCGTCTTCAGCTTCAAGTATGGCATTATACAAAGGCGGGTATAAATTATTTTGGTGGTTATACAATTTTTCCTTTTTCTAAAAGTATTTTGATATGTATATATATATCTATATACATTGTATTCGGGTATAAATTATTTTAATGGTTATACTATTTTTCTTTTTTTTTTTTCTAAAAGTATTTTGATATAGTAAAAATTATTTTTTGCTCTCATTTAATATCATAATTATCAATTTTGGTCTCATTCAGAAAAATTTATCAATTTTGGTCATACACAAATGAAAATTTATCAATTTTAGTCCCAAAATGGTTGACTGGAACTGAACAAGGTCATGTTGGCTTGAACACGACCGTGTTGGATGACTCAGAAGGTGACTGAGCGTCCCAGGCAGCCAACACGGCCGTGTTGATTACCCTGCACTTCTAAACATGGCCGTGTTCCTGCCAGTGTTTTGAACATAGCCATGTTTCTGTCCATGTTCTCAATATAGCTGTTGATGCAAATTTTCAACAATAAAAAGTAAAATCTGAAAATAGAGATTATCTTCGAATTTGATAAAATAAAATGCTTGAGATTTAAAAATCCCTAGACACCCTACGATACATAAATAAAATAGAAAAATAAATACTACAAATTGTAAAAGTAAAATGGTGATCCCCAAAAGAAATTCTTTGAATTTGATTGTCAATTGAAGATGGTTTTTTTAGGTCATGAAAAGACCTATTTAAAACCCATGTCAACCGCCACAACCAGGTCGTGCCTTCATATCCGCTCGCCGGTTGTAACTTCTCTCAACCGTCTTAGAACTGCTTTTCATCCGACCTGCACACCGGTTGCCACGTCTCATCTTGCCCGCTTTCCACTTGTCCGACCTCCGTATCGGCCGTCTCATCTTTCTTCGCCCGACCTTATCTTGTTCGACCCCCGTATCGGCCGTCTCATCCTTCTTCGCGCGACTTCATCTTGTCCGACCTCCATATCGGCCGTCTCATCCTTCTTTGCCCGACTTCATCTTGTCCGACCTCCATATCGATCGTCTCATCCTTCTTTATCCGACTTCATCTTATCCGACCTCCGTATCGATCGTCTCATCCTTCTTTACCCGACTTTGGACCCATTTAAGACTCTGCTACCATTATCAGGCCAATTGGACTATACATCAGTCCAATTTATAAGCCCATTCTCAAGAAACCCTATACATTGGTTTTTTTCCACTCAACAACTTGCCTCCTTCTGCCTGACTCCTAAGCGTCACTTCTCGGACTGTGTGAGATGTGACGTTTAGGGGTTTATAGCATAGTGCTATCATTACACTGTTTAATGTCACATCGTGGGGTTTATGTAAAACCCTTATCTCATCTTCCCATACTTACGCACTCAAAATCCTGAAAACCCTTCTTTTCTCTCCAGTAAATATCCTCTTCCAAAAATCCTTTTTTCTTCGTTCTCTGTCTATTCACAAATGACCAATCAATATGTTTTTGCTCTCCCTTTTGATGGGACTGAACCATCAGTGCCCTTTATGGCTTCGAGGGTCCTTACTCCTACCCTTCGCCTTTATTGTGCCACCAACGAGGATGCTGATCGAATGAAATTGGTTATCTCTCAAGTTTCTCCGATAATCATCAACGATGTTGCGTTCAAGCCGGAACGTCTTTTGGACAGCATCAGGACTCACCTTACCGATCCCAAAGATGCCTATCGCAAATGGCACGCGAGACTGCTCCCCCATTATCAGGAACAATGGAGAAGGCAGGGCATAGACAAGGCCATCCTACTGTCAACCCAACCTCTTCACCTCCATGATAAGGCCCTGTTGGCGATGGCAGCTTTCTGGCACGCACAGATGAGAGTTTTCTTTCTCCCTTCTGGTCCCATTGGCCCGACCCTTATGGACGTGGCCCTCATTGCTCACTTACCCATAGTGGGTGATGATCCTGTCCTGGTCTCCTTCGAAGGTCGGGAGCCTTCACCCGACCATGCTGGTTGGGCCCTTGCCAAGCTTCCTGAGAAAGAAAGAAGTTGGACCAGCTTCGTCAACAAGTTCCTGGGCGAGGCAGGCACCCCCTGTTTCTGAGTTGGAACACACAACGTTCTTTTTTTTTTGGCTGTGCAGGTACACTTTCTTTTCCTTATACTTTTATGTAAATTCAAAGTTGGATATTTAGTTGGGTTTCTTCTTTCTCTACAGATATATCATTCTCTACTCCTCCAAACTCATTCTATCTTCTCCAGTCGATCTGGCCATTCACCTGGCCAGCGATCAATTTTTCTTTTTGGGAACCTTATTTTTGGCTAACCTTTTTTAGGGTTTAACCCGAGTAACCACCCGTCTGACCGATACTAAGAGAGCAGACACAGCCGCTTCGGGACCATTTTGGTTCCTGGAGCTATGGTTTTCGCTTATATTTTCCGAACACATTTTTTTGGCCGACTTCCTATTACCCCGAACCCCCAAAGGTCAATAGGTTTTGCTTTAGCCCGCTTAACCCTTAGTTCTTCTAATCTTTATCCATCTGACCCTGTAATTACCCAAATTTTGACCGAAAATTGTAGCAACTCTCACTTTTACGTATACGAAACCCTTGTACAGTACGCTACTGAACTTTTTTTGCTATACCCCGACACATCATATCCCAGATCTTATCCCAATCATCTTCCTCATCCGACCTATCCCTTCTCTTGGGATTCTGCCTTGAAACCCCGATCTCTATTTTTCAGTAAGAGATCGGACAAGAAAAACCATCGATCCTTTTACACCTTCAATTACCAACTCCAATTCTTGGCTCGACAGTTCGGTTGCTGTCAGGGCCTGCTGGGACCACTAGCCCGACAATACCTTATACCTCAAAGCCCAGAAGGTCTAGTGATCCCTGAGCTCATCCCGACTTACCTTTCCCAACTTACTGACTACATCACCTCCAACTCCTACTTACCTTTCTGCTCGAAACCCTCGGCGGCTGAGGCCTTCCCTGCTTGGTGGTTGGCCACCTGGTCTCTGATTGCTCCTCCAACTGACCAATTGGTCGGAAAGCTCTTCCCACCCCCGGCATTGGCGCTGGGTTCTCTCCGACCAGTTTCTGCTCCGAGAAAGAAAAGGCAAGCGCCTGCTGAAGGCGGGTCGGGTACCAAAAAGAAAAAACAAAAGGCTACCCCGTCATTGATACACAGGCTATCGAAGAGTACCTGACAACTCTGCCGATGGACACGAGCGGGCTACCGAAATACTTGAGGGAGCAATTTCGTAAGTATTTTTCTGTACGTGTTTCCTTTTCAATGTATGCCCCTTTTTTTAACTTGAATCATTTCTAATTCAGAGAGCCCTTCGTTGCCACCGACCACAGTCCCGACTGTCACTCAGCCGACCATCATTCCAGACTCTCTTCAACCAGCCGCAGTCCCAGTCAGCCGCAGTCCCGACTGCAAACCAACCGACTGCAGCTCCATCCGCAGGATTGCCAGTGACCCGTCAGGGAGAGGATCCGACGGTGAGGCAAGTGTCCTCATCAATTTCTACCCCGACCGCCAACCAACCGACCTCTGAACTACCGACCCCGGTCGGATAACCTATCGTCCAAGGTCCGCCAGCCAAGGTAAGTTGTTTCCTTGAAAACTTTTTAAGGGAAATACTTATTCAATTTTTCACTAACTTTGATCATCCTTTTGATAGGAAAACCCCAGTTCTCCGTCGGCTGCCCCTCAGCCGACCCCTCTTCCTGCAGAAGGGGAGCTGCCAATGATCCGTCGACCAGAGGATCCGACGGGGAACCAGACTTCTCCTCCAATTTTTCCTGCACTTGCTCCTCAACCATCACAGGTAACTGCCAATATATTTTCATATAATTCCTTTATGAATCTCTAACTCGTGCATCATTATTTTCAACCAGGAACCTGATGTGGTCGTGGCAGTGCCCGACCAAATTGTCGCATTACCCGACCAGGTCGCAGTTTTGCCCGACCAAGTCGCGGTACCGCCCGATCAGATTGTTGCGCCGCCCCTGCAGCTAGCCGCCCATACTGTGGGTGAGGGTCCGTTGGCCGCTCTCCAACCAGTCCAACCAATCCCACCGCCTCAGGACATAGAGGAGATCTCCTCCTCGAAGTCGGGCGAGGCATCAGTCAATTTTGCCCCAAGGGGTTCGGTTAGTATTCTTTCTCATCCACTTTCTGACTTTCACCTCTTCTTCCTTGCTTGACATTCTCCTGTCAGGGTATGGAGCTGGCCGTTGCCCACCGTCTACAACTAGCAGACGAATCAGTCATAGGCCCGACACCTGCGGTGTTTCGGATTATGGCCCCTTCTGAGACGACGGCTACTTTCAATCAGGTAGACTTCAACTCTATATCTCTTTTAACGAGTTCATTTTGCTTCTTTATACTTCAACACTTTTTATTTCAAGCTGCCCAAGAGATGAGTGTGCTGGCCTGAGTGACTCTCCGACTCCGGCCAAACCAATCGTAGCACGTTGCGCTGACTTGCCTTTCACCAACCTGAGTCCAGCCGGTCTCGAGGCTTTGGTTCAGGTCGCGATAGACTTATTAGTGCAGTACCCATTGGAGTCGGAGGCTCCTCCCATCCTTGACCGGATGATGGAAATGATCACAGAACTCCAGGCTGAACTGCCCTTGATCCG